GTGTTGGATCTAAAGTTTTAACTTTAAACATGTAACTACCAACACCAATAAACTTTAATGATAGTTTCAATTAAATGAAGCAGATGTGCGACAGCGCAGACTTACATGGCAGGCCAGGATGGAGCCGGTAGGGTCAAGGGTCATGGATACCACCCTGTCCCTCCCTTTCCTCAGCAATGAGCCGACCCGCGAGGTGCTCACTAGTCTCTGGGGGGGGGCAGGTTAGGTCAGTAACATGACATTTAGAAACATGGAAGTCCTAAAAAAAGACTTAAACATCTAAAAGCAATTAACAACATCATAATGCAGGTAGCAGTTTCAATGGAAATGAGACATAAACAAATTGAACATAGGCTTTCACTTGAAAGTCTTGCAACTTAATGCCATTTTCTTAAACTTAGACGTAAGTAAAGAATTTGACACTTGGATTTATGGGACAGGGTTTTATCTAGTAAGAAACACCACTTTTTTTTCTCTGTTCAGGCACAGAAACACTTGTGACTAAGGTCTTCACAACACCATAACAATTAAACTTTCTTAGGAAGAGCTAAAAAAATATTCAAGTTGTAGGTGCAGAAAACCATCATTATTTTGTTTCTAAAAATAACTAAATAGCTCACATCTTCCACATCTTGTTGTTGCTCCTCTTCCTGATCTTCTTCCTCCTCTAGAAAAGGTTTCTTCACAGGAGGCTCCTCCTCTTCTGGCTTCTACAGGGGCACATTCCAACAAACAGGCTTCTGTCAGGATTATCTAAATCTATAATGTTCTCCTCCTCTTCTGGCCTCTACACGAGCACATTCCAACAAACAGGCTTCTGTCAGGATTATCTAAATCTATAATGTTCTCCTCCTCTTCTGGCCTCTACACGAGCACATTCCAACAAACAGGCTTCTGTCAGGATTATCTAGATCTATACTCATGTTCTCCTCCTCTTCTGGCCTCTAGAGAGGTTTCAATTTTTATTCAACCCTTCTCTATAAAGTGATGATAGGAAACAGGCGGTGTGGGAGAGTGTAGCATATGACTTGTGACTCGAGAAGAAGAGGAACATGTGAGTACACCGGACTGGGAGGGTGCACATGTAGCACCTGGGGACTTGAGAAGAACATGTGTCTACCTGCTCAATGTAAATGATAGGAAGACATTGAGTGGGAGGGTGGACCAGCATGACAAGTGACTAAGTCTAAGGGTGTATGTACCTGCTCCTTGTACTGGATATCCCAGACCCTTAGCTCGTTGTCGCCACTGCCTGTAATCAGCCTCCGTTCATCTGTAGTTACAGCAAAACTCCACACCTAAAAAAAAAAACCATGCCATCAGTTGTTGCAACAGATCTACAGAACACATCCATGGAGTAAAGAGACTCTTTTTTGAAAAGCCAAGTTTTTTATTCACAGCCAATGTTTTGGTGACCGTCTGTCACCTTCCTCAGGGCAATTCTGACTGGTTCACATTGCACAGCAGCACAGGTGTCGCTACTATAGATGCATTCCCAAACGTACAATATAAACAATTCTACCTCACCTCCGTCCTGTGTCCCACCATTGTCTTGAAGCAGTGCTGAGTGTCCAGGTCCCACCACTTCACAAACGTGTCCTTGGAACTGAGTAACAAGAACAACATTTGCCAAATGTGCAGTTTGCATTCTGTGGGAGCAATTGCACTATGACATATATTTTTCCAAACACATGAAAATAAGTAATACTGTACTATTAGTATTACTTATTTTCATGGGTGTGGAAGCTGTTGGTTTTAAGTTGCAGTTCTTATACCTTAAGGTATAAGGTTTCTTATACCTTATTTCTATCATCAGTGGTTCCTTACCTTGTGAGTGAAAGTTCCTTACCTTGTGATTGAAAGTCCTTACCTTGTGACTGAGTGAAAGTTCCTTACCTTGTGAGGAGAAAGTTCCTGTTCCTGAGGAAGTGACAGTGGGTGATCACTCCTTTGTGTCCCTTTAGTCTGTACAATCCAGATTCATTAACCACATCCCATACAATCACATCTGTGTCCTGTAACACACAGAAACGGAAATATTAGGAAAATTTGTTTTTTTTTACATGCAGCAATGTGTGAATAATGACAAAAAAGGAACCCTTAATTAGAAAAGTTATTTGATAGGCCTTCCTTACCCCTAAGCAAATTGGGTGCACAACATATTAATCAAGTGTGTTAATAAGCAACATGACACCCCCTTTCAACCAGAAGAGTGAAAAATTTGAACCCGCGTTCGTTACAGAAATGACAGCCTGTCGGGCTGAGGGTGTCAAATTGTGGCAAACACAGAAGAAAACTCTGGTCTGAGACCTTAGGCCACACTAATTTAATTTGTTGGTTCTCGGATTTTTTCAGAAAAAATATGAAGCGACAGGGCAAAAAAATAAATAAATAAAAACAGATCTAGGCAACCTATTATAGCCCAAAATGCTACGATAGAAGCCATGGAGTCAACACAAAAGGCTGTGTTAATTTTGAAACAATAAATTTTGATTTGAATATCAATCAAACCACTGTATTGATAGATGGAAAAACTGTAACAGCTAGAAAGTAAAGGAATTTCCTCAACTGTTACGGGAAAATATGGGCATTTTTTGTTAATTCAGAACCAGAATCTTTTGTTTTGCTTTTGCAAATCAGAAAAAAATGAAGAGGTGAATCCGAGATCCAACAATTTAAATTGGTGTGGCCTTAGAGCTACATCTAAAACAGCTTGACCCTGCTAACCTTTGACCCTGAGGCGAGGCGCATCCCGTTGTGGTCGTATCTAAGCGTCGTCACGGCCGATTTGTGTCCGCTGAAAACCACTGCAACTTCTCCTGTCACCAGGCGAAACACCTGCACTGTGCCATCACTGTACCTGTCAACAACATTCTGCCTGTCAGTAACCTACACTCAACCTGTCAATAACCATTAAACCTGTCAATAACCAACACTAAACCACGGCCACTTCCCCTGTCACCAGGCGAAACACCTGCACAGTGCCGTCTGAGTACCTGTTAATAAACGTTCAACCAAAATAGCGTACCTGGTTCAGTAAAAAAGAATCATGTTTTCTGATCTAACAACAGAGATATGACTCAGCTCTTCCCTGCTGGTAGAAAGATCCTAATTTGAGCTCTCAAACCAAGCTGAGGTTCAGGCTTCAGCTGATTTTTTATTAAGTGATCTAAGTTATTGTGTTTTTATCCGCTTTAGTTTTTGTCTCGGTAGCTTCTTTTTCACCAGCCAAACATTACCAGTTAGTCAATAAAACTATGAAGTTTAAAATTAGATTACAACAAGTTCCCTACCCGACAGCGATGTGCTGGTTATCTGGGCTGGCAGCCAGACTCGTCACTTCATGTTTCTCTCCTCTCAACACCAACAACTGCAGACATGGGAAACAACAAGACAGGCAAGTGATGAAGCTTGAAAGGTATGCCAGTCCTTTAAGGCTATATGATTTAAAATGTGGGTTGGGGACCAGTAATTGTCCTCCAATCACGAGACAAAGACAAGTCTTATATATGTCTCTGATCTGTAAGTTTGTTTGTTTGTTTGTTTACCTTCTCGCCCGTCCGCAGGTCCCAGACAACACATGCTCCACAGCAGCTACTGTAAGTTTGTTTGTTTGTTTGTTTGTTTTGTTTGTCTGTTTACCTTCTCGCCCGTCCGTAGGTCCCAGATAAACACATGCTCCACAGCAGCTACATGTACCATAAGTTTGTTTGTTTGTTTGTTTGTTTGTTTACCTTCTCGCCCGTCCGCAGGTCCCAGACAAAGACATGCTCCACAGCTGCCACAGCTGCATAACGACCCTTCACACCACGCAGACAGAGCAGCACCACGGGGGCCTTGGGACTGGCGACCACGCCCCACATGGAGGCAGCAACATAGCGGAGATACTGCTTTGTCACCGGCATGGTGGTAGTCACTCTCACTCTCTCCCTCACTCTCTCAGGAACTCTGGAGATAAAAAATACACAGACTCAGAACACATCGCAGATTACCAGCATGGTGGCACTCACTCTCTCCCTCTCACTCCCTCACTCTTTCACTCTCTCTCTTACTCAGTCTCTCTCTCCCTCACTCACTCTCTCACTCCCTCTCTCCGGAACAGCTAAAATAAAACTAAGTAAAACAAAGCACCAAACAAAGTAGGGCACCGAGGCTCTACGTCTAGCGGAATTATACTATAGACATAAAGTAGGAGCAACAAATTATGATTCAACTTTTGACAGAAGCCTTAGTCAGCAAAACAGGACATAAAACATGGACAACATAAACAATAACATACACATGTACCGCTGCTGTTGCTAAGTACAGTGTGAATAAAAGTCTGTTAAGCTAAATATACTTTTATAAGACTTTACGTACACGTAACAACGTACCGCTGCGTGCCCCCCTCCCCACCTCCACACGCCCTCCGCTCTATGAGACTACAGGACCGCCGGCTATGCTTTATAAGCCGCTAAACTGAACGTCTAACGTTCTACGGTACTCACCTGTGAGTTCGGGGTTAAACCCGGGTCCGTGAAGGCTGGATATCAGACGGAATTGGCTGATTTTGGAGAATAAACAGCAACGTGCGTGCACATGTGTGTACGGCGACCTCTGACCTGCAAACTCACTACAGTGACACCTGGCGATTCGTTTCAAAACTGCAACGTCACACGGTGAATGTTGACATGAATTTTTAGTTTGTCTCAGATGCAACTTTTTCACCAGACTTTTGATATTTTTTTTATCACAGTGACATCGTAGAAAATCCTAACACCCTAAAGTTTGTTAAGTACAGTATGTACCAAATATGATAATTGCAGCAAAGAATTAACATCTGTGTCCATAATATCACCAGGGTCCATAATATCGCCACCTTGAGAAATGGTGTGCTTCAAGATATTTTTACTGCAACATGGCCCTAGGTATGTACATTTGAGGTGTGCAAGAGTGCATACCAAAAGTATGTTGCAGTAAAAATATCTTTAAGCACACTATTTCTCAACGTGGCGATATTATGGACCCTGGTGATATTATGGACACAGATGTTACGTCAATGTTTGCAGTTGTGTCACCTTCGGACTTTGATACCAAAAGAAAAGCGAATCAGCTGAAAGTTGCACGTGCACAATGGAGTTATCGGAACCTTTTACCCCGAGTTCGGAGTTTCACGTCTGACATTCAAACGCAACTGCGCAGTTGGAGATCTAACGTCGAGCAAAAGTGCGCAGTTGGAGACCTCAGTTTTAATATATAGCAGTTTGAAAGCTTTTAGCAGTTTGGGACTACCGTTCGCAGTTTGAGAGCTTTTGGCAGTCTGAAACCTAACGTCAATCCGCAAGTTCGCAATTTGTGACCTGATTTTTAACGACAACTTCGCAGTTTGAGACTACCGTAGCAGTTAGCCAGTGGCCGGCCATGGACGAGCCAGGCGGTAGGCGCATCAGGCTGGGACCGAGAGAGATGACGTTCGGCTCCGCGGAGCTTCAGATTCTCCAGCCGTCCAACCAGCTTCTGGGGGACCCGGGGGCGCTCAGGCGGGAACTGGCGGACAGGGGGTGAGCTTTAACTATAACCCTTGCCTAACCCTTGCCTAACCCTTACCTAACCCTTAGCTAACCCTTAGCTACCCCTTACCTAACCCTTACCTAACCCTTACCTAACCCTTACCTAACCCCTACCTAACCCTTACCTAACCCTTACCTAACCCTTACCTAACCCTTGCCTAACCATATTGTGAGAGTTCCGTGTTGGCCGTGACATGTGGGGCGATCCACTGTTCCGGTTCAGTACAACTTTTGACAATCTTTTCCAGTTATCTCTTCATCCGGGGTTTGCATGACAGACAGGAAGTGTTGGACGCGCGTCTGGAGGTTCTTAAGTACGTGAAGGTAATTGTGACTAGGTTAATGTTTATGTGTAGGGTGTTTAGGGTAGTACATGCATGTAAGGTACGGCTGTATGTAGGGTGCTTATGTATGTAGGACATGTATTTTTAAAGCATTATGTACTTTAGAATTTAGGGTATGTGATGTAGGTGTGTTTGCGGGGAAATGGCAACTGATTTCGTGTATCCAAAAATTGCATTTCGTCACACAATGGCGGAAAGTGTTTTGTTTTATGCAGGAGTCAGGAGAAGGGAAGTTGGATGCTTCGTTCCCATGGCAACAAGGAGTGCTGGATTCAAGATGCGGCCGAGGGTGCGTCCCTTTCATGGAGGTATGGTTTTGTATATATTCACATTCGTCGTTCATATGTCCACAAATACTCTCTTCAGATACTTTGTTCACAAAAATTACTTGTTTTTACATACACTTCCTTTCGATTCTTTGTTTTTTACATACTTTGTTCGCATGTGCCAAAAAGCAGTTACTCAAGCAACTGGATATGGTTTTGGTAACGGTCAGACGTTTCAGGTAGTATCCACTACCTTTCGTCAGTGACTGGGAGACTCGAGGAGAAACGTTCTTCCGTTTCCAAAATCATATCCAGTTGCATAAGTAACAGTTTTATCACCTATCTTATTACCTGGATGTCTAAACGTATCTTTGCTCCCTTTACATACTTTATTCACACACTTCGTTCACAATTTTCATGCATGATTTTGACGTTACGTATAATCTGCATGTCTCCCACAGGGCAAGAACTCCATCACACATTCCGACGCCGTCCTGAAAGTCATCGAAGGACCGAGACGTAAGGAACACAAGTCCAATGCAGATCCATTTTGTTTGGGCAGAAATATCAGGGCTGGAAATACTGGGTGCATGTGCACCTTAGTGCACCCAAAATTGGAGCTGTGCACCCAATTATTTTCTGTGGGTGCACTCAAATATTTTTGTTGGCATTTTTGTACATATCAAAATGGTTAATAGTATACTGAATATATAGTCTAGTCTACATTTTTAAAATGTTTAACCACATTTGACGTCCCGTTCCACAGCCCGTGCGTTCTTCCGGACCCTTCTTGGTACAGAGCCTCAAACATTCGACTACAAGTGGCTCAGGTATTGTGCTAGCCCTTCTTGTTTGAGTAATTAAGATATGTTAGTTATGTTTTATTAGACATTAGGTCTTCTTCAAAACATTTATTTTGTTTTTTGCTACTTTCTTTATGTAGTTTGCCATACATTGTACCATGTGCAATTGTCGTGCAATAAAGTTCTTCCTTCAGACGAAAAATTGGTCTTCGCTTCGTTTGCGAATCAGTCAATAGTTTGTATTGAAACCTGCTGAATCTGAGAGCTCTGCACTCTCCGGTGGCACAGTGACGAAAGGCAGCTGATGCTAACTGAAATGTCTGACCGTTTCCAAAATCAGTTTATTTATTTATTTATTTATGAAGGTCTCCTACTCTTTTCGATAAGTGTGTTGGGTTCTTTAACGTGCGTGAGGTGTGGCTCTCCCAAACACGAGACCTCCATTTAACGTCCTATCCGAGGGACGTCCCTAACCGAAGCTAGGTACTCATTTCTACCTGAGTGAAGTGAGGAAAGTCGGGTTAAGTGCCTTTCCCAAGGGCACAAGATAAGTTGCTTGAGTAACTTTTTTGTTGCCTATTTAACAATTGCCTATATGTTTTCGGCAGAGCCATGTAACGTTACAATGTAACCAGCACGTGTTGTTTATAGAGCCATGTACAATGTAACTTGTGCGTGCGTGTTTTCGGCAGAGCCATGTACAATGTAACTTGTGCGTGCGTGTTTTCGGCAGAGCCATGTACAATGTAACTTGTGCGTGCGTGTTTTCGGCAGAGCCATGTACAACGAAGGCTTTAGCGGCGCGCACGTGGATTGGGTGTACATGTCACGTGGTACTGACCAGCTCTTCACCATGTGGACGCCGCTGGGAGACGTTACCATGGAGATGGGTACTCTGGCCGTCTGCGAGGGCTCACACAAGCTGCAGAGGTGGGAAACACAGACAAACATGCACACATCTTGGAATCTCCTGTCGCTTGCGACAGATGAGTAGGCGTATATACAGGTCCTCATTTGCCGATGTGGGTCCTCATATGGGAATGAAGACCAATTTTTGACGCACATGAGCGGCCACAGATGCTGCAAGGGAAGGACTGGACAGGGATGGAGCATTGCTTCCTCCTCTCTTTCTTCTCCTTTATGGCAGCTGCTCTGTTGGCCTCGAAAGTCCTAGTGCCCAGTTTACACTGGCTTCTCCACGCAGTTCTGTCATGGGCGATTTCTTCCCAGGAGTTGGCGTCAATGTTACAGCTCTTAAGGTTTGCCTTAAGGTTGTCCCTGTACCTTTTCAGCGGTCTTCCCAGGTTACGCTGCCCTTGCTTCAGTTGTCCATATAACAGTACTTTTGGGATTCTGCTATCCTCCATGCGGACAACATGCCCTACCCATCTTAACTGGCACTTCACGATCATGCACTCAACACTTGTGAGGCCACACTTCTCCAGAACCTGTAGGTTGGACACCTTGTCCTGCCACCTGATGTTGCAGATGTTCCGCAAACACCGCTGCTGAAACTGCTCCAGTAACTGGATGTGACGACGATAAGTAGTCCAGGTCTCACAGCAGTAGAGAAGTGTGCTCAGCACCACGGCTATGTACACTGCAATTTTGGTGGAGAGCCGGATGCCATGTTCTTGCCAGAGTCTTTTGGTCAGCCTGCCAAATGCCACGCTTGCCTTTCCAATGCGCTGTGTCACCTCAGCATCCAGAGATCCACTT